ATATTTATAATGAGAAAGATATAAACGTAATCAACTTATTAGTCAGAAACCATCTGCAGCTCCACAAACACCTCTAAATTCAGAGCGGGGTATTTCCGCCCTCTGGGTTTTAACTAATCACCGTTTTATCATCTCTGTTGTGCAGGACCGGGAACCAGTTACCCCAGTGCGCGGGCTCCTGTACGGGGACGCCACCTCCGTTTGGCGCAACGTAAGCCATCCTGTCCTCCCAAACAGACTCCAGGACCGGTTGTGGCGCGCCGGAGTCGGTGAGGCACCTGCTGTGGGAGTGCAGCGCTGCTGAGGACCTGTGGGCAACGGCCGGCTCCTCGCAATTCCCACACTTGCCGGCAGGGGGGGTCCTCAATGCACAGCTTATGCTGTACGGGGTGAGCCAACAGAAATTTACAAAAACAGACTTTGCAGAGGTGTGGCTCACCCTAGCCACCATCAAAGACGCCATTTGGACCTCCAGAAACCTGCTGGTGAGCAGGCGCAGGCAGATCCCCCCGTGGCTGTGATCCGGATGGCGGCAGCAAGAAGAGCTGCAGGTGGCGCGCCGAGGACACAGCCACCAAGAATCGCCTGCGCCTCCGTGGACAGAGGTCCCGGCAGCGGCGGCCTGGCTCTCAGTGTCACGCAGGTGGGAAGGAGCACCAGGGTGAACCCCCGCTGGGCGCCATCACTGTTTGGAAGGACGGGATGACTCCGGACTTGACAGGGAGTCACCCCGGTCCTGCATAACTTTGAACTGTGATGTTTTTTATTCTTGTTTCTTATCTGCTTTTAGTTTAATTTAAATAACGAAACTGTATTTTAAAGAAAGATAAAAAAATTATCTGAATAACTGCATAAATGCCATATTTTTAAAATGTCCCAAGTATCAATAAACTTTTTCGAAAGAAAAACAAACCGCCTTCTGGTGGCCACAATAGGAACTACGGTCTCCATAATGCATTGTTTACGTTTAAAATCCACTTAATGTGGAGTTTAGAGAAAAACTGACTCTATCAACCGTTTTCTGACTCAATTTTTTAATTCACTGTTGTAATGAAGAGAGTTTTAAATAATAAAATAAAGCTGCTATGTCAAACTCTTTGCTGGACGTTTTTTCTGATCAGAATCAGACTGAATAAAAACCTGCAGTGACTCTTCTTTAACGACATTAACATATGCTGACTTGAACTGACTTGATAAAAGTGAACATTAAAACAAAAATGTACTTGACGAATGTCTGTTGTTGCGATATTTCACCACCAGAGGGCAGTATGAACTCACCCAACCACCTCAAAACTGATAAACTTTCAACTTTTCACGAAACAGTTTCTGACTCAATCCTGTAGATAGAAATCAATATATTTCGGACTTGTATGTGATTAGAGATGGAAATGTATAATTAAAATAATTCAGACCACAAGGTAAACAACAGATACTTAGAAATATCATATTTTCTTGTTGCTCAAAATCATTCAGACAAGCTTAATGATAAAATTGAATAATGATAAAATTTGGATCGATTATTAGTGAACTGAAGGTCAGACGCTGCTGTTCAGCATCAGAGTTTAGACCCACAGCTGCTGATAATCAGCTTGTGTGAGCTGTGAACTTTGAGATGTCTCCAACCGGCACTCACTGAGAGTGTCTGTGTTAGATTTTTATATAAATACAAATATAAATATTCAAGGTTAGGAGACTATACAGGTTGATAAATCTTTGTTTGCCCCTTGGACCTGTTTTTCTTTTATCTTTGAAGCAATGAGTTTGTCACTTTGGAGACGGATGGCCAGGGTGACAGTTAGCCTGGTAGGAAGAATGGGTCGTTTGCAAACAACCCAGAGTCTCGGGAACTGAACTTTACGACCCCAGAGGGAACTGAACCAGAGAATCCAGAGAACGGAGCAGTATGCCTGCAGTCACAATTGCCCTGACAGGAGGACAAGGGCACCACAGGTGCCAACCAGGGAGAAAGAGTTGACACCGAGCAGGAGAGTGGATCGAAGGCTAGATGTCCCAAGAAACTCTAGTTTTATGGTCCAGAGAGACAACAAACAACTGTGACATCAGGAGATGCAAAGACAGTACCTTGAGAATGTGTATTGTGTTTGCCACTCCTTCTATGCAAATGTTTGTAATTAAGCTACGCCTCAATGTAATAAAATATGCAGTTGCAGAGAAGCACGTTAGAACTGGTCCGGAGACAGAGATAACGGGATGACTCTGGGCAGAGTTCTCCGTTCAATTGGAAGATTGCATAAGAAAATTTAACCGTTTCCCTGTGTCCTCATTAATGTCCAGCAAGAGTGTTAGGTAATAGATCCAACAGTCTGTAATCAGAACTGTAGCGATAATAATAATAATAATAATAATAATAATAGAAGAAGAACTGGGCTCCTGTCTAAGAAAGGAATTCAAATAATTGACTTTGAATTTCTTTCAACTGCGGGATGTTTTCAACTCTGGAGCTGCTTCTGGTTCACACTGACAGAGAAAACATTTCAATGAACCCAGGAGAAGAATCTGCCTTCATTTATCTTACTGGGAATCAGTTATCTTGGTTTTCTTCTAGTTTATTCTCTGTTTCTGTTTCAAAATGTTTCACCTGCAGCTGTTATCTTTGGATAAAAAGCTAAATGAGAGCTATCTCCTTTAAACTGTTGACCACAATTTAATCAATAGACCCCAATTGTAAGTTTTGAAAACAGTCATTCATTCTGAACTTGTCATGTCACAAAGAAATTATTTGGCCTCAACTTCAAAGTTGAGGCCAAATAACGAGCCACTTCTTCCAGCTGTTCTTCCACATCCCAAGATACTGTTGAAATAGAATTTTAATTCTCAACAATACTTTCTTATTCTTAGCACTAATAAATGATCAGGTCTTGCAGTAACTGTGGCTACATCAGCGCTTCCTCTTTCTCATCCCACCAGCTTCAACACAAAGTTAAACGCTTGCATTCAAATAATGATATATGACAGATTTTAGATAATTTTTTCCTGCATAATGTGCATTGCATGTATTCTACGTTGGGCAAACGTATCTTGAACGACAATATTAAATAAAAGTAGAAGAAGCAATAAAAACTTTAATGTCAAACCTGAACTTCCGTTTCCAACTTCTCTTCTGACCGTACAGGTGAGTGCTTCTCTGATTGGCCTGTAGGTGGCGGTAATGCACCTGAAGTTGGTTTGCAGCCGCCACTGACACCCTGTAGTAGTAGAAGAAGAAGAAGATAATTAACACCGCTTCTGTATTTCATTTAAAACCGACCTGCTTTGCTCCGTAAGTTGTTGGTTTTTCTATTTATTTGTGTCATATTATGACCGAGCATCTGGACCCATGCAGGTTGTTAGCTGCGCTTTAATAAAGTGTCATTTTGTGTTGCTTCGTAAACATTCCGCCACTCGGATCTCCTCTTTGATTCTAAGTTCTGGTTGGGAAATGTCGAGCTCTTTATTATTAATGTTGCAGCCTCCTCTGGTTGGCGTCATAAGGGCAGGAAAAGTCCTGGTTCAGTTGAACCAGGAGGAAAACCACCGCTTCCTTTATTGCAAAAAGTCAGAACTGCGCATGTCTCACATCTTAAATAGTCCCACAATGATGACGTCAGTGAAGAGGCTGGGCCTCACTCTGCAGCCTGCACCTCTCGATGAAGTGTTTACTCAGTGTTTTATTGAACTGAACAAAAAATCAATAATTTTACATTTAAAATAGAATAAAATCTTGTTTGTAAATATTTTCTACTCAGAAGTCATTGTCGGGCTTTAATTGTTCCCTCTGAGGTGGAGGCCCAGAGAAAGTATTTCTGTGTAAAGATGAAGAAATAAAGCTGGAGTCTGTGAGAAGCCGAGTCCTGCTGGTGGATTTACTGCTGACGACACTGCAGGAGCCGAGTCGCTGCAGAGAATCTGGAAAGTCTTTGGTCTGAAGATGAAGAAAATCTGAAGACCTGAAGCTCCAAGCTGTCATCAACTCTCTGATCAACACGTTTCCTCGCCTCTATTCTTCCCTCGCCAGGTTTTTCCACAAAATTTGACAAAGTGTGAAAATGTGGTGGTTTTTTTGTGACAAATTTACGCGGAAATCATTTATTTTTGTAATGAGCAGTAGCTCAGAGGAATAAGAAGTGGACTGGGATTCCACAGGTTGCAGGTTCGAGTCCTGAACTCTACCAATTTTACTTTAATTTTTTCTTTATTTGAGTCAAAACGCAACAAGATCCTTGCTGGACTCAAACCAACAACCTTTAGATAAGCAGTCTGTATTCCTCCTCTCTCTGCCACTCGCTCATCTACACTAAAATGCTTTTTTTTAAAAACTTGTCTTCTGTTTTGGAGGATTTGGGTGAAAAAGGGGCGTTTACTGTGACAACTGGAGGCGTGGCTTCAGAATCGTCTCTGATCCAGGAGAAAAACTCAAAGTTCAGGATCCAGAAGGTCCAAACTGAGCTGATGCATCTGGGCAGGAAAAGCAGAACCAACATTTACTGCTCAACATGTTCAGAACAACAACTGAGGAGATCTGGAACAATTTCACTTCATCTGCAGCTCCACTTTTACTTCTTCACTTGGAGGCTTTAGGCTTTTATTTCTCCTCACGTGTTGGGAACTTTTAAGATCATTGAAACCAGAAGGAAAATATTGATTTTCCATCCGATGATCAGTTTGAACTTTGTAAAAACACAAAATGTTACCCAGTGTTTCAGTTTCTGTTTGCAAAGGGAGAAAAGTAAAACTTTTCTCTGCAAATTCATAAAATACATAAATAAAGAACTTTTTAAATTTAGCCTCACCTGGTTGGAAATAGAAGGAAAAATAAAATAAGGTTTAGTTAAAACACAGCCTAATGACCCTAAATACATTTTAAATTTTTATTCAAAAAATAAGTTTGAAATTTTTAAAAATAAAATAAAAAGTCTGGAAAATCTGAATCGTTTAGAAGCAGTTGTTTTATTTCCTGAATGTCAGATGAAATTAATACTAATTAAATGACAGGAATTCAGTTTGTTTTTATATATTTAGTTTTTATTTGAATGTGAATAAATATCTGCTGGTGGCTCAGCAGCATAAATACACAAGAAGAAGAACCAGAACAAAACGTTACATTCAGAAAGCTGCACCGACAAACATGTCACATGATCCAAAGAGCTGCAGCTCAGACCGCGCCGCCATCGCAGCTTTGTGCTTTCTCTGTGATCTTTGACCCCACTACAGGCCAGTTCTGACCCGACTTCTGGAATGATCCTCCTTTTTCTAAAGTTTGGATTTGGGAGAAAAAAAACAACAAAAGCAATGATTGTTTTCAGCACAAAGCGTTTCCAGTGTAGGCTGCAAGTTGATCACTGACTTCACCTGCAGAGGAGGAAGAGGATGGAGACCTTCATCGTCTGCGGCCTGCCAGCAGCAGGCACTGCAGAGGAAAATATCTTACTGAAAAGCTACTTGTTGGTGTTTTATTTGCAGAGTCCAAGAAACTGGACTGAAATACTTGATAGCATTCAGTGTTTCTGCAGCAGCAGCAGAAGCAGACTCAGCCTCTGGTCTCCTCCTTCCCTGCAGGGGTCCAGCTTCTTGAAGTGCCTCAGGTCCTCATCCTCTCACTTCCAGCTCTGGATGAATGGATGAAGATTCTCAATCAGCTGTTGAGAAACAAGATTCTGTCAGAGAGATCAGACCAGAATCGTTTTAATGCGGTTCCACTAAAACCCCACTTGGTTCTGTCAATAAGCTGATCAAGTATTGTCATCACTGGAGAAAAAGCAACAGCTGATGAATCAAAACATCAACATTCAACAGAATCATTGAGTATAAAACAAGCTGCTGCTTCTGCTAGTCTGTTAGCATCGCTCGCTCCGCTCAGAGTCTCTGCAGGATGTTTTCTTCTCTCTGGAGCTGCTTGTAGTTCACACTGACTGATAAAACACTGATTTCATCTTAAAATAGAAAACATGTTTTTGAAATACCACAGCAGAAACACCAAGAGAGCAACAAGAGCTTCATTAGCCGGTCGGCAGCGGGAAACTAGCTAACTGCTAACTTAGCCTTCTGCCCCCTAGTGGACTCGGTGTGTAAATACAATCAGAGTAAAGCTAGAGAACTGATATGTGATTAGCACTTCCTTTGAATTCTTTCAAAGTAAAGCAATGAACTAAATTCTCCCGTTAGTACATTTTAGCTTGTTAGTTTATGATATTATCAGAAAGTATAAGTGTGTAATTTTCTTAGGATGTTATAGGAATTAAATAATTGGGCTCTGAAGAAAAATTATCATAATTATTATTTTTTCCAGACAAAAAATATATTTCATAAATATTCTCCTGACTCAACATCTTGGCGAACAAACCAGTTATTTATTTAATCAGGAAACATTAATATGTAATCTATTTTAGATATATAGATGAATTATCTGTATGTAAATAACTCATCTATATATTAAATCAGCTGTCAGGCCTTTAGAGAGACCATAATAATATATCTAAAAGTTGCAGGAGACCGGCCCTCCAGGCCTGGAGTTGAACATCCTGCTTTAGACAGACCATAATAATATTTGTCATTAGAGAGACATAAACGTGATCAACTTCACAGAAGTCAGAAACCAGCTGCAGCTCGATAAACTCACCTGTAAATTCAGAGCGGGGTATTTCCGCCCTCTGGTGGCCATAGTGGGAACTACAGCCCTGATGATGCTGCCTTATTTACATTTAATATCCACTTCTCCACTTTATATAGAGAAAACGAACAATATTCCTCAGTTTTTCCACGGTTTTCCGACTCAAATATTATTTTGACACATTTTAAATCACTGTTCGATGTTATATGTGTAATAAATAGTTTTACATCATAAATGATAGCTGCTGTGTTAAAACTCTTGACATTTTTTTCAGTGACTCTCATTTTACGGCATTAACATTTGCTGACTTGATAAAAGTGAACATTAAAACAAAGAAACAAAACATCTGGCTGAAACATGTATTTGAAAAATATCTGTAGTTACAAACGTTCACCCGACTTCACTCAGCCATCATAAAACTGATCAACTTTATACTTTTCACGAAAGATAGTAATCTACAGAATTAAGTTTGATTCGTATTTTATGTAATTACAACTGGAGAGTCTTTATGAAAATATTAGAAAAAAACAAGGTAAATAACAGTTACTTAGAAATAGTAATGGCAGAAATGTAGTGACAAAAATTTTTTTATTCAGTTAAAATCCTTACAAAAATATTAACTGTTGGTAATTTTGAAAATCAAAGTTTGGAAAAACTCTAAACATTACGAAAAACATATTTATTAGTAATAAAAGTCAACCAGTCGAGATGAAAGCAGAATAAAAACAGTTCAAAAGGGAAAAATCTTTGAACAGGATTTAAAGTTTAATTCATCTGAATAAATATTGACAGTTCAATTTGAGTTAATAGAGTTGTTGGATAAATTGTGATGTTATTAATCAAATATTTGTTATTCTCATGTATCTTTATAATGTATCTTTTCTTATTAATGTTATATAATAAAAGCATATAACATTAATTATATGCTTTTATTGTTTAATTTCATCTTAGAATTAAAAATGTTTCTGTGTTGTTGAATTACTCTGATTCCTTCCTCAGAAAGCCTCACTGAAGGAAGCAGTGACAACAGGTTTCTGCAGGGTTATCTCTCGGCGTGAACCAAGGCCTCTAGAAAACTGACCGTGAAGATGTACAACTTGCTCTGTTTAACCCTGTGTCTGGAATGAGAGTATAAAGTGCAAGATACCTTGTGTTTTAGTTAGTGATTGTCTTTGGCGCTGTAGCCATGTGATGAAGTGTTTTCCCCTCCCTTTAGAGTTACAGTGTCCTTTGTGATTAGGGATCCTGAAAAAATAAAAAGAGAGAAGCAGGCAAATGTGGTTTCAGAGCAGCAGGAGATTGTAACTGAAGCACATCTCTGTCTGTTCTCCTCACGAGTAAGAAAGAATCTAAATCTCTTGTCTTTCCTGTGTTTGTTGAATCTGTATTTAATAGGTGTTAAACCTGACAAGAGTGACACAAAACTAGAATAAAGATAAAAACATTCAGTATTTCTGTTTTGCTGAAGCAGTTATGAAACAGAGCCGCTTTTTTCATGGCTTCAACAGAAAACCAACAAAACAAACTTTTTATTTTTGATAGTAGATTATGAGCGCTCACTGCCCTCTGGTGGTGAAATATTGCAACTACAGATATTCCTATTCATGGTAATTTCTCAACCAGATCATTTGTTGAACTTAATTTGTTCTCATTTTCACTTTTATCAGTTCAAATAAAATAAACTTAAAGTTTATAAAGAGCCACTGCAAGGTTAATAAATGGAAAAGAAAATTAAACTTACTTCAGAAAAATCCTCCCAAAAGATTAACTGTCGTTAATTTTTAGAATCAAGGCCTGAAAAATTTAAACAATGAAAATGATAAAATCCAACCTGCTGACATCAGAGCATTGAGCAGGATGAAAATATCTAATGGAGAAAAATTAAACATAAAAAGTTACATTTTAAAACATTACCAGTTATTACTTAGTAAATTGTATGAATGAATGAATCTGTGAATAAATTTATAACACGTACAATGATATGATGTTCCTGCTGTTAATTTTATTTAAATAACTTTATCTGTTTGACATGACTATCGAGGAATAGGAAAATTAAATAGTGGTGCTTGAAAACCTGAGCAGAATTTAATTTGGTGCTTTTTATTAAACATTTCAGTGAGAAAAAAAGGAAAACTAAAAGCATTATTTAATATGAACGCTAACCGAGAATATTACCTTCTTTTAGCTCTCAATGTGAAAGAAGCTACCGGAAGTGAATGTGGTATGTATATTCTCTAACTTTATAGAGTAGCTACAGTCACCATCTCGGTCCACTAGAGGGCATTAACCGCCCTGCTCTGAGAGAAGTTCAGTTTGTTTGTTGTACATCAATCTTCTGAATGTTTCCATGATAATTTAATCGATCATAAATATTCTCCTGGCCTCAAACCACAAACTCAGAGTCTAAACCAGAATTGGAGAGTTTCGTTTCAACTCTTATGGAGCCAAAGCTCCTCTGAAGCTGCTGCTAGAGTCTGTTAGCATCGCTAGCATCGCGAGAACCGCTAATAGTCTCTGCGGGCTGTTTTCAACTCTGTGGAGCTCCTTGTTCACACTGACCGATAAAACACTGATTGCATGTTAAAGTAGGCAGAACAGTTATTATTAACATTCAATTATTAATGTTAATAGTAATATGTATCATGAGAAAGAGAAAAACATGATCAACTTCACAGAAGTGAGAAACCAGCTGCAGCTCAAAAACTCACCTGTATATTCAGAGCGGGATATTTCCGCCCTCTGGTGGCCATAGTGGGAAGCTATTATTTACTGTATTATTTACATTTAATATCCAATTTATATAGAGACAAACTAACGATCTTCTCAACCAGAAGATAAATAATAAAATAATCAAAATAATATTCAAGCCGTTTTTCGACTCAAATATAATTTTGATACATTTTAAAACACTTGTTCGTTGTTATATTTGTAATAAAGTGTTCAAAGAGTATTAACACAGCAGCTATCTTTATGATTTAAAACTCAGTTTTTTTTCAGTAACTCTTATTTTACGACATTAACATTTGCTTACTTGATAAAAGTGAACATTAAAACAGAAACAAAACATCTGGCTGAAAAATGTATTTGAAGAATGTTTGTAGTTACGAAGGTTCTCCACCAGAGGGCAGTAAGAATTCACTCAACCATCATAAAACTGATCAACTTTATACTTTTCACGAAACAGTTTCTAATAACTAGTTATATTGACTTAATAGTGTCTGCAGAATTAAGTTAGGATTCGTATTTTATGTAATTAGAACTGGAAAGTCCTCATAACAACATTAGAGAAAGCAAGGTAAATAACAGCTACTTAGAAATAGTAATGGCAGAAATGTAATTACAAAAAAACTGTGGGTAATTTTGAACATCAAAGTCTGGAAAAACAATAAACATTACGAAAAACATACTTATTAGTAACAAAAGTCAACCAGCTGAGATCAGAGCAGAATAAAGACAGTTTAAAGGGAAAAAATCTTTAGCGTCAGGATTGAAAGTTTAATTCATCTGAATAAATATTAACAGTTCAATTTGAGTCCATAGAGTGAAATAAAACTAGAATAAAGATATGAAACATTCAGTATTTCTGTTTTGGTGAAGCAGTTTTGAAACAGAGCCGGTTTTTTATGGATTCAACAGAAAACCAACAGAACAAACTATTTTTATTTTTGATAGTAATTATGAGCGCTCACTGCCCTCTGGTGGTGAACTATTGCAACTACAGATATTCCTATTCATGGTAATTTCTCAACCAGATCATTTGTTTAACTTAATTGTTCTCATTTTCAATTTTATCACTTCAAATAAAATAAACTTTAATTGAAGTTTTTAAATGTTTTGAATAAACATTTCAGGGAGGAAAAAAAAAGGAAAACTAAAAGCATTATTTACTATGAACGCTAACCGAGAATATTAACTCGTTTCTTAAGCTCTTAATGTGAAAGAAGCTACCGGAAGTAAATGTGGTATGTATATTCTCAAACTTTATAGAGTAGCTACAGTTACCATCTCGGTCCACTAGAGGGCACTAACCGCCCTGCTCTTAGAGAAGTTCAGTTTGTTGTGCATCAATCTTCTCCTGGCCTCAAACCACAAACTCAGCGTCTAAACCAGAATTGGAGAGTTTCGTTTCAGCTCTTATGGAGCCAAAGCTCCTCTGAAGCTGCTGCTAGAGTCTGTTAGCATCGTTAGCATCGCGAGAGCCGCTAATAGTCTCTGCGGGCTGTTTTCAACTCTGTGCAGCTCCTTGTCCACACTGACCGATAAAACACTGATTGCATATTAAAGTAGGCAGAAAAGTAATTTTTTTTTACATTCAGTTATTAATGTTAATAATAATATGTATCATGAGAAAGATATAAACGTGATCAACTTAAACGTCAAAAACCAGCTGCAGCTCAAAAACTCACCTCTATATTCAGAGCGGGGTATTTCCGTCCTCTGGTGGCCATAGTGGGAACTACAGCCCTGATAAGGTTGCATTATTTACATTTAATATCCAATTTATAAAATAAAACTAACAATCTTCTCAACCAGAAGATAAATAATAAATTAATCAAAAATATTAGAGCCATTTAAAGAGTTTTAAATCATAAAAGATAGCTGCTGTGTTAAAACTAAATAGTTTTTTTCAGTGACTCTTATTTAATGGCATAAACATATGCTGACTTGATAAAAGTGAACATTAAAACAAATTAAAATAATTCAAAATGCAAGGTAAACAACAGCTAAATAGAAATAATGATAAAACTATCGAAATGTAGTTACAATTTTTTTATTCAGTTAAAATCCTTACAAAAATATTAACTGTGGGTAATTTTGAGAATCAAAGTCTGAAAAAACTATTAACACACTTTTATTAGTCATGAAAGTCAAGCAGCTAAGATTAGATCAGAATAAAACAATCTAATGAAAAATAATATTATTAAAATTAAAAACTCAAAGAAGCTTTTCAAAATATTTGAGCATTATAGTAAACAGAAGATTATTTACATTTTTAGGTTTGTTTTTGCCAGTTAGTCACTCTGTGTACTGCCCTCCTGTGGTGACACAATGTAACTACACACTAAAATCATTTAGACGAGCTCAATGATAAACTTCTATAATAAAACTTTGATCAATTATTAGTGAACTGAAGGTCAGTCGCTGCTGTTCAGCATCAGAGATTAGATCCGCAGCTTCTATGTAAAACAAGATGCTGCTAGTCTGTTAGCATCGCTAGCATCGTTAGCTCCGCTCGAAGTCTCTGCGGGATGTTTTCAACTCTGTGGAGCTGCTTCTAGTTCACACTGACAGAGAAAACATTAAAATGAACCCAGGAGAATAATCTGCCCTCATTTATCTAACTGGGAATCAGTTATCCCGCTGGTTTGAAGCTGGAAACCAGTTAGCTTCCGCGCTAAAGACTCGCATCATTCCCAGCAGCGAGTCTTTCTTTATTGGTTACCATTGCGACCTCAGCAGTGAGTTCAGTCCCTCTGGTGGCTAAACGTGGCAATTACAACAATAAAGTTGGAAAATTTACAAATACGTTTCCTAATAGACCTTTCAAAATAAAATACCGGGAAGTAAAATAACTACTGTGATAGTTTGCATCAGAATCACTAAGAAACTTGGAGGAAACAATATTTATTAATGAAATGATTCTCATGTATTTTATTTAAACATCTTCAGTCTAAATAATGGAAAAATAAGCTGCTGCTTTAAATTATAAGCTTAAAAATTCTCAAATCAACTGAAATGGATGTTTCTGATTTTATTAAAACAAACTGTTGAACAAAAGATACAAACTTAAAATATATTTGGATTAATTGTTAATCTGAATACAATAAGCTAAACAGCACAGAGGATTAAAATAAAGATGTAGTTACTATATTTGTACAAAATAAAATGCATAAAACCCCCACCAAAAATATTATGAAAAACTTTCTTAGCTCATCATTAAACACAGAGAAACCCACGTTACATTAAACTAAATATGAACAAAATAATATGAACCAGTCACCACGTTATCCCATGAATTCAGAATAAATCAGCACAATCACAGTAAAGAGCCTGATGTGACATATTGAGTCTCCATTCCCAATAATGTTCTCTAGATTAACTGGAAAACTGAAAAAGTTCACCACCAAAAACAAAACGAGAAATATTAAAGCACTGAGAACCAATGACTATGATAAAAAACTTAATTATTTAAATATTTTTAGAATGACTATAAAATATATATATGTATATTTATTCAGATTAAAAGATGGATGTTCCTGAAAACTGCTCCAAGATCAGAGTTTCTGTGGGACATCCAGTTCTAAACTGGTTAAACTGGTTTCTGTGGTGGAAGCTGAAGTTTCTCTGACGTTTCCAGTAAAACATTTTTTTATCTGTGGAGCTTTGAGGAACATTTTCATGTCAACAGAAGGAAGAAGCAGCAGAGAAAAGAGGTTTGAAGTGTCTTTCATGACTTTAAAGCTGAACTGGAAATGATTCCCATGTTTCCATTCTCAGACCATTTCTGGTTCCAGGATGAAAATGAACCAGAGAGAAAAAAGATCAACTTTCCAGTTGAATCCAGTTCAGATCAAAACTCCATGAAGCCTCTAAATGGAGCCCAGTTTGAATTGGATCTTTATTGATCCAAAGAGACAAACAATATCAGAGACTAAATGACAGACATGAGAAAATAAACAGGAGGAAAATCTTTGAGGTCAGAGGATCATCATCTTCCAGAGTCTCTTTAGACTCAAACTGCTGCAGCTTCAACCTGTGAGGATCAGCAGGACACAGAGACGTTCTCTACTTTACAGAGATCAGAACCTGCAGAGAGAAGCTGTTCCCAGTAAAGCTGCAGCTTTACTGGGAACACTGGATCTTTGCTTTGATGCTGACTGGGTTTAGTTCAATATGCTGACAGCAGCTGGACTCACTGCAAACATTTACTTACTTTACAGTCTTTACAAAATCCTTCAGATGCTGAACATCTGATTCCTCCAGGTTGTTTATTCTCAGGTCCAGTTCTGTCAGACGGGTCGGGTTGGACTTCAAAGTTGAGGCCAAAAAATCACAGCTGATCTTTGACAACCGGCAGCCATTCAACCTGAATAAAGAATAAAAGATGTGAACCAACAGGATGCAGGTTAACCAGTCCAACAGAACCAGTTAAAGATTCTCATAAATATTAATGCCAACAAGCTGCTGCTCCAATAAAGACCTGCTGACTTCAGAACCAGAACCAGAACCAGAACCAGAACCAGAACCTGGTACTGGGTCATGATGTGTTGGAGGATTTTAGTCAGTAAAATCATTCCAGGTTCTGATCAAAGTGTTGAAGCATCAATCATTGATTATTGATTTGTTCCTGTCAGATTCCAGGAATTCACTTTTCTAGACTGGATGACCTTTGACCTGCTTGACCTGAGGGGGATTTCTACACACTGGGGTCCGAATGCTGTCCTGTTCTGACCTCAGATCAGCAGGTCCAACTCAGTTACACAGAGAAACTAAATTAAACTCTGGATCCAGGAACAAACTCAGAAAATATTGATTAGATCAGAAGAAATGAACTTTGATTTATGATCAATTATATAGAATTATTCACAGAAATATCAATAATTATATCATTAAAATACCTCAATGTCTTCAGTCTGCAGCCTTCAGTCTGTAGAAAACCACAGAGATCCTTCAGTCCAGAACCTTCCAGGTTGGTGTTGATCAGGTTCAGTTTTGTCAGATGGGTCGGGTTGGACTTCAGAGCTGAGAACAGAGACGTCCAGCTGGTCTCTGAGAAACTGCAGTTCATCAATCTGAATAAAGAATAAAAGATGTGAACCAACAGGATGCAGTTAAAACTGAAATATAAATAAATAAATAATAAAAATGTAGAAAATTAATTTCCCTGAATGTAAAAGAAACATGATGAACTGATTCTAACATCTGATCCATTCAAACTGGTTTAAAGAGTCCAAACCAGCAGAACCAGAACATTTGATCAACAAAGAAACTCAAAGTTTGTCTCAAAGTTTCTGAGGATCTTAAACTCAGTGGATGTTTTTCTCTCCATGTTTCCTTCCAGGCTCTGGATTCTCCGACTGCTCTGTCCATCATTGATCTGCTGATATTTTATGGCTCCAGTTTTTCTTCATTAATCTATTAATGATGTTTTTCTTGCTGCTTGTATTTGAACTGCAGCTCATTGCTCAGTATGACAGATGGAAACGGGTTGATTTCAATCCTTTTATAATATCATCACATTCTGAAAGTTGATCATTTTGTGCTGATTCAGTTTCTGAACCATCAACTAGAAAATATTGATCCTTTTCTCTGTGAGGTCATTGTGGGTCATTTAGTTCTGGTTCTGAATCGTTCATCAGAGACGCTGCAGAAATGGGAATATTATCATAAAGGAACAACCTGATAGTGAAGATGAATCATTTTAAATCTATTTTCCAGTAAAACACATGAGAATGATTTCAGTGAACTGCTGAAGCTTGTTGCATACAAAGCATTACAAAGGTAAGACCTCACTTCCTGTCCTACAAAATAAGAGCTGAATCAAGATGCTTGAACAAAATGACTTTAACAAAGTCAGTATTTCCTGCAGGACTGTTAATGAATCATCTTGATATTATTTATGTCTCTTAATGTCCAGGATCTCTGCCAGCAGACTGTGGTCATCCTGATAGAGTCTGACTGTCACAACAAACTCAGATTTTCCTCTGGAAGCTGCTCTCACTGGTTTTAGGACGACTGACTTTCATTTGCTCCATTAGTGGAATTGACACTAAAATAGAAACTCATCACTTGCTTCCATTTAGTTTTGCTTCCTGCAACATCAAACTGCTGCATGTGCTGCAGCTCCATATGAGAAGCAGTCAAGTCCCCAGAAAGCTTCCCTGTTTCTAGGAACCGTTTCATCCAGTTAGTCCACTTTCTCTGTCCGTCTCTGTCAGACTGTGAACCTTTAGTCTGAGCTTGTGGATAACCTCTCCTAACAACCTGCTGCAGATCCATGTGCTGCATCTCTGCTGGTTCTGATTCTGGCAGAAACTCATGTCCTGAAGAATCTGTAGCCTGTTGAGCTCAGAGAAAAACTCAGTGGTCTGGATTTATTCAGATGAAGCTGAAGTTGGTTTCTGATTGAATCTTCTGATTCAGGAAGTGGATAAAGGGCCATTCCACCTAATTATTGACTATCAGCATCTTTAATCTGGTCTAGTTAAAACACTGCAACACCTGGACTCTGTGAACCTGGACTGGATCATCATCAACTAATAGCAGGAGATTTAAAGCTAATGTGGGATTTATGGATCTTCAATGAAGGGAGATTTCATGTTGACCTTTGACCTGCTTGACCTGAGGGGGATTTCTACACACTGGGGTCCGAATGCTGTCCTGTTCTGACCTCAGATCAGCAGGTCCAACTCAGTTACACAGAGAAACTAAATTAAACTCTGGATCCAGGAACAAACTCAGAAAATATTGATTAGATCAGAAGAAATGAACTTTGATTGATGATCAATTATATAGAATTATTCACAGAAATATCAATAATTATATCATTACATACATCATTATCTCCAGTCTGCAGTCTTCAGTCTCTAGAAAACCACAGAGCTCCTTCAGTCCAGAACCTTCCAGGTTGGTTCTGATCAGGTCCAGTTCTGTCAGATGGGTCGGGTTGGACTTCAGAGCTGAGAACAGAGACGTCCAGCTGGTCTCTGATAAACTGCAGCTCCACAATCTGAATAAAGAATAAAAGATGTGAACCAACAGGATGCAGTTAAAACTGAAATATGAACAAATCAATAATAAAAATGTATAAATTAATTTCCCTGAATGTAAAAGAAACATGATGAACTGATTCTAACATCTGATCCAGTCAAACTGGTTTAAAGAGTCCAAACCAGCAGAACCAGAACATTTGATCAACAAAGAAACTCAAAGTTTTCTATCAGTCTGGATGAGTTGAGCTATTTCTGCTGGTTCCTGATCATCAGACCCGACTTGGTAACTGGATCAGAACCAGTCAGGTTCTTCATTAATGGCCTTTGGGTTCCTATTAAAGCTGCTGAAAGCCAATGGAGGCCATTATTTCCTCAGGAGACGGTTCCTCTCTGACCCGGCCCAACAGAACCACAGCCTCAGGACAAAGCTGAGGAACCTGCTGCTGCTGCAAACCTCACTTTCATTCATTGCATCTAGATTTGCTTTTCTACAATCAGTGGTTTCTTAGACGTTCATTAATGAGGATTTGAACTCGTCAGTGTTTGTGGCTCTGGAGGATCAACATTTCATTCTGATGTAAAGAATCAGAAATAAAACCATCTGAATCTTTACCAAACTGAAACATCTCCATCATTCATTCACAGCATTTCAATTATTTTACTCATTTTGTTCATCAAAAACATTTTAAAGAGAAAAACTGAAAAACAAAGTTCAATAATCTCAAAGTCTGAAATAAGAAAATAATTAATAAGGTCAAATGTTTTAGAGATTTTATTCTGATGAATAAACAGGTTGTTTTAAAATAAAATATATTAACATTAAATTGATTAACTATTGATTTTAAAAAAATCAATCAATGATTTTATGTATAAATAGAGAAAACAAACCTCAGATTCTTCACTTTACTGACTGAATTCTCCAGGATCTCAATCAGATGCTTCGTATCAGAGTCTCCAAAGATTCCACCTTCCAGTATGACCTGATTTATTTCCAGTTCAGTCAGATCTGGGTTGGACTTCAGAGCCGAGGCCAAAACTTCACATTCATCCTTTTCCAGCGAACAGCCACCAAGTCTGTGATTAGAGAAGAAATAAATTCAGTTCTAATGAAATCAATCTGGATCATAAACAGACTAAAATATGATAACAGTGATGTCATCATCTGATCATCATCTGATCAATATCGGATCTTCAATCTACTGAGTTTGACCCCACAGAGAATCTGTGCAGTTCCTGGTTAGAGTCCAGGTTCTGGTTCTGGTTCTGGTCCAGGCTTCATGTCCTCAGACCTTCAGCTGCAGTCAGATGTTGAAGATCTTCTATCATCAGTGAAGGAAAGTTCAGTTTCTCTGCAGCAGCTGATGAAGAGGCTGACTGAGCTGAATGAAGGAAACGACTGGAGATGATGGAGAGGAGGAGGAACTGCTCACAGCTCTGACTTGGACTAGACCGTTTAGATCTTCCACCAAGCAGGAAGTGAGTTATAAATGAAGTGAGCAGAACAGGAAGTCCAGCTGCTGTGGACCTCTGGCATCTCTGGGTTTGTTGAGCCAATATCTGCTGCATCATCATTAATAATAGTAATATATTGTATAGAAACATGTTTCCCAGCAGCAGGTTATTAAATGCTGCCACAGAGGAAACTGGGAGCAGAACAAACACATGATGCTCCAGTTCTGTCTCCGTTCATCTGCTGGATTTGATGCTTTAACAAAGTAGAAAGTGGACAGTCGTCAACCTGCTGCAGCTAAAAGCTTCACGTTGTTCTGGTCGTCCTGCAGAGCAGAAGCAGAACCGGTCCTGCTGCTCCTTCGGGTCAGAACCGTCCTCTCAGACTGTCGATCTGAGAGGAACTGGGACAAACTGGTTGGAAGAGGGACACATGTCTCTGCAGTGGTCTGTCCATTGTCTCAGAGGAACAAAGGTTTGGATGTCAGGAGAAATTGTTGCTAAACTCCTAAAGAGCTGAAGAGCAAAACCCCTGGAGGAGACGGAGCGTTTGGGTCCAGCAGCATTTCATGGTGAAGCAGTGAAAGTTCTCCAGTAACTAGAAGAGGCTGGATGTCTCCAGAGTTGAAGCTCATGTCTCTGCAGGTCTTCATGGAGGACAGCTAACAGCTTCAACAAAGGCTGCAGATGAAGAGTTGATGAGGAAAATGGTTCCAGCTCTGGAAGCAGATTCTCAGAGCTTTGGGAGGATCTGACAGAAACTAGAACTTTTTCTGGAACCAGACGACAAAAACCACATTTTGGTCTCATTTACAAACTCAGAGGAAACTAGAGGGAGGAGGAAGAGGAGAGAATGATGAAGATCAACACTGTTCACATAGTTTATAATTAATGCAATGATTTATTTCAATTTATTTTATTTAATGAGTAATTGTTTCATTAAACCGAACAATTATTTTATGAAAACAGTCAAAGATCCTAAAATATGAATGATGGAGCAGCGGCTCAATGAGTGAAGAGTTTAAAGTTTAACAGTTTCTCTGGCTGATTGGATCTTAGAGAAAATAGATTTTCTAGAGTTCAGGGTTTTCTATTCATTTCATCCTGAAAACTGATAAAAAGTTAAATATTTTTAAAAATGATCAAAATGTGTAAAACCAGAAGCTGCATCTGTCCTGGATGAGCTGAATGTTTAGATGTTTGATTGGCTGAAATAATCCAGAGGATGAAGGAAGTAGATAAAGAGCAAAAACATCCAGAATCAACTTGAAGACAGAAGAAGAAACAGGAGGACAATAGAGCTGAATCAGCATCACACAATGAAAACATCTGGACTCACCGAGCCTTTCTGCAGTTCCTCACAGCTGGAACCAGTCTCAGTCGTCCTGATTCTGATGTGTTGTACTTCTCCAGGTCCAACTCATCCAGAACCTTTGACATCTGCAGCATGAAGGCCAGAGCTGAACAGTTAGTCACTGAGAGCTCCTTCCCTGAATCCAGCAACCGTTGGATCTCCTGATAAAATGAGACGTCGTTCATCTCCAGCAGACAGTAGAAGATGTTGATGCTTCTGGCAGGAGAGATATCATCAGTGTTCATCTCTTTCAGGTTGGTGATGATTCTCTGGATGGTTTCTGGACTGGTCTCTGTCTGACCCAGCAGATCTTCTAAGTCTCTCTGGTTGGACTCCACAGTGAGACCATGAAGGAAGCGGACAAACAGGTCCAGGTGGCCATTTTGACTGCAGAGGGATTTCTCCATGACTTTCTTCATGAACTCATCTAGAGATGTTTCTCTGTATTTTTCTCCCAGGAACGTCTTGATCTCCTCTGACTTCCTGCTGGTGAAGCAGTGGAGCATGTAGACTGCAGCCAGAAACTCCTGGATGCTCAGATGAACAAAGCAGTAGACTGATTTCTGGAAGATCACACTCTCTCTTTTGAAGATCTCTGTACAAACTCCTGAGTACACTGAGGCCTCTGTGACATCCAGACCACACTGCTCCAGGTCTTCTTGGTAGAACATGATGTTTCCTTTCTCCAGATGTTCAAACGCCAGCCTCCCCAGATTCAGAAGAACTTCCCTGTCAGCCTCCATCAGCTCCTGTGGACTTGTCTCATGTCCTCCATGGTACTTGTTCTTCTTCCTCTTTGTCTGGACCAGCAGGAAGTGAGAGTACATGTCAGTCATGGTCTTGGGCAGCTCTCCTCTCTGCTCTGAGGTCACCATGTTCTCCAGAACTGTAGCAGTGATCCAGCAGAAGACTGGGATTCCACACATGATGTGGAGGCTCCTGCAGGTCTTGATGTGGGAGATGATTCTGCTGGACAGCTCTTCATCACTGAACCTCCTCCTGAAGTACTCCTCCTTCTGGGCATCGGTGAAGCCTCGTACTTCTGTTGCCCTGGTAACACATGAAGGAGGGATCTGATTGGCCGCTGCAGGTCTGGAAGTTATCCAGATGAGAGCCGAGGGAAGCAGGTTCCCCTTGATGAGGTTTGTCAGCAGAACATTAACCGATGATTTCTGTGTGACGTCAGAAACCAGATGACTGTTGTTGAAGTCCAGTGAAAGTCTGTTTTCATCCAGACCATCAAGGATGAAGAGGAGTTTGCATTTAGCCAGTTGCTCTGCTGGGAGCTTCTGGAGTGTTGGATGGAAAACATGGAGCAGAGAGAGAAGACTGTGCTGCTGATCTCTGATCAAGTTCAGCTCCCTGAACGAAAGCAGAACCACCACACTGACATCTTGGTTCTCCAAGCCCTCAGCCCAGTCCAGAGTGAACTTCTGCACTGAGAAGGTTTTTCCAACACCAGCAACGCCGTTGGTCAGAACCACTCTGATGGGTCCATGTTGGTCAGGGAAGGCTTTAAAAAGGTCGTGGACCCTGATTGCAGAAACATGGAGGTTCTGGAACTTGGAAGCTCTCTCCAGCTGCTTCACCTCATGCTGGGTGTTAACCTCGTCACTCTGTCCCTCTGTGATGAAGAGATCAGTGTAGATCCTATTGAGGAGGGTTCTACTTCCTGTTTCATCACTTCCTTCAGTCACACGTTCACATCTTCTCCTCAGACTGATCTTATGTTCCTCTAGAACCTCCTGCAGACCAACATCTGCTGAAACACAGAAGACAACTGTAGTAAAAAACATGATTCAGTGATAAAATTGGAACAAAACCATCAGAGTCATTGAATGCAGGAGTTTTCAGTAACATCAACTCTTCTGCTTCGTGTCATCATTGTCCTTATTGAAATAGAAAAATGTTTTCTTGCTTTATTTTCAGTCTTTATAAAAAAAGAGAAAAAAAGAGAAAACTTTAATCTACCAAAGAAATGAGTCATTACATCAGTAATGTTCACATTTAAAATGACTTTCCTCAGTCAGAGTCTGAATTGGATTTTTTAAAGAATAATTACAGGATGGAAATTGTTGAGCCAACAGATTGTTAGTATTATTACATTTTGCATTTATTCTGTAAATATATATAATGCAGTCTGTGTTATATTGTCAGAGTTAAAGGTTTCTGTCTCTCTGACATTCCTTCCCTCTTTCTGTTAAAACAGTTTTAAAGCAGGTTGTTTTTCACCTTTTTGTCTTCATGCATCAAAATTATGACCAGCTTTAAGAAAGTGTTGAGTTTTATTGTATTTATCACAAAAGGATGAAAACAGAGCCACTTCCAAGCAAACCCACAGGTTGTTGGGGTCAACATGTAACATTTACTAGAATATATTGGAGAACACAGTGGGACCAGCACTAGATTCAGGTAATGACAGCAGTGATAGGCTGGGTGTGTTAATAACTGCAGACCAGAGAATATATTTAGACTGCTGGTTTATCATTTGGTAAAGAACAAAGCAAAATAAACACTTAACAAAGTCACATTGTCTGTATATTTTCATTTAGTTCAAATTTACTGAGATATTTGCAGTCAAAACTACACAAAATACTTGGAATGAGAGTCACAAAAATAGACATTAATTTAACAATCAACCACATAGACCCAGGTATCAAATTATACTCTTTGATGGCCTCTGAGGCTGCTGCTATTTTAGCACCAAATTATAGCCAAATCATACTAGTTCTGATGTAAACAACATCCAGCAGGGGGCACAGCTCCTGTTAGTTCAGGTTTTAGGGCGATCTGAGTTGTGATTCACCATCTTACTTCTCATTCATGGAATCAAACTCAGGAAACAGTTTGGATTTTACAGAGCTGAAGTTGGCTTCAGATTGAGCTTCCAATTCAGAATAAAAGGCCGCCTTTACCTTTGAGCGTTTTCAATCTGCTTGAGTTTAAAAGCTGAAATACTTGCAGTCTTAAAATATGGGCTACATTATTCTACAATTATAGCAGAATACTTTAAACTATAGATTGTGATTAGGGAAAATATTTCCATAAATCCAGGAAAAAGCCAGGATCTGGCAGATGGGACAAGTCACTAGTTATAGTGAAGAGTTTTTAACTCTTCACTATAGCATGTAGTTATTGTTTCTAGGAATCTTTCTCTAGTTCTCCTCTTGTGATTTCTGTGCTCCATGGTTTAAGGAGCCTTGTTGGTCCCCAGATTGTCCTCCACTCCTCTGTTGCTGCTGCAGCTCTGCTGTCCTCACATTCATCTGTCTGATTCTTCTCCAACAACATTTGGATCACAAACTATTCACTTCCTGGAGAAGCTTTTCTGTAACATAACTCCTTATTATATTCTACATTTACCATCATCTGCCAGACTGAACCTCAACGACACCTTGAACCAGGAGCTCAAAATCACTTTTTAATGATTTTGACAGAGTTTAAATCACTTTCTGCCTATTGTTCTTTAATCACTTCCCAAATTGAAAGCTATAATTGTAAACTCCAATTTTCCAGCAGAACCTTAACGGCCTGGTGAAATAACCAATAAAAATAGAACAAAAATCCTTTTCAGCAAGATCAGATTCACCATTTTGGCAGCTGGACAATTTGCTGAGCTAGAACTTTTGTCACCTCTTTTTATGTTGTTTTATTTTCACTTTATTTCTGTTATTCTAAACATAACATTAATATCAATCAATACCTGATTGCTGCTCTCCTTTGCCATCCTTTCTGCTATTTAATTCTCCTAAACCTCATCATAAAATTATCTGTAAGAATTATCAAAGTGATGGTTGTTTTAATTTGTTTTATTTAGAGCTAATGACATGTTATGCTGCAACATGACCCTTCAGAGTAAGAGTCTTCACTTGTAATTTTAGAAACAAACAAAAAAAAAGTCAAATTTGTACATTTATCTTGTGGCCATTTTTTGAACAGGCTGAAATTAAATGAGGACTTTCTTAAGCCGAGTTACTGAGACATAAGATCCAGTTACACCAGCTGGAAAAAGACAGATTCAATTGAAACAACTGATCACAAAAAAACTTTTAAACCTTAAATGTCCAAATCTCAACTTAAAGACGTGGATCTGGAAGGAAGAAGCTCTGATTGGACATGTTCAGTCTCACCTGGAGCACAGCTGCTCTGATTGGCTGTCGGTCCAGATCCTGTTTTGGGTCGTTTCCCATACTGGGAGAAGCTGGTCCAGCCCGGATCCATCAGAACATTGTGACCCAAACCACAGCAGGATGGAAGCTCCTCCTCACTAAAGCTGCTCCTGTGAAGACATTTCTTCATCACTGAAATATTCACTAGCAACAGGCTGGAGCTGAACATGTTCATGAAGGTCCATAAAGAACCAGGGACCAGAAACTGGGTCAGAACAGAACCTCAGAACATTGATGATTTCTGGTTTTAAATACTTCATTGAATTATATTTGGTATGATGACTGATGCCAGTGTTCCCAGTCTGGAAGATGCTGGTTTCACTGCTTCAGTGGGTTTACAGACAATCTGAATTGTTGCTCCTCACATGTTTCTGTTTTCATGCAACATTTTAATCCATATTAATTCATTCAGACCTTCATTCAAACTCATTTACTGACCAACATCCTTCATGTCTAACTTTAAATTAATAAGTAAGAAAATTAAGTTACTGTTTATTAAAACACTGAGATCAACCAGTTAATTTATATTTTATCTCTATAGATTCACATGAATCAGTTAGAAACTGGTTTCTTACTTTCTGTCTGAGGGTCCAGGTTCATTACTGAAGAGTGGAGGTTCATGTTTGGACCAGTCACTCCTCATAGATGGACTGATGGATCCTGGAGGTTCTTTTAGATCCAGATTTTCCATCTTCTGGACCTTTTGAGAGAGAAACCAGAACCAGTCAGTCCCAGTGATCCAGTTCCAGTAACTGGAAGCAGAAAGCTGGTTCCCATCATGTGTTTAGAGAATCAGAGTGAATCAGGTGAATGAAGGAGTGAACATTTGGCTCTACTGTAAATCTGTATGAAGGGAGTCAGTGTGCAGGAGGTTCTGAGGGAGCAGCAGCTCAGGTTGGGTCCACAGCTCTCCTCCAGACAGAACCGGGTCCAGCTGGGATCTCAGCAACATGTCAGCCTCTGTGTGCAGCTCAGCAGGATTTCCTCTCAGATAAAGAGTCACAAAGCAGCTTTCAGAGACCACAGCATCCAGCTGAGGTACCAGCTGGACCCACTGCAAGGAATCATGGGTAAATACCAGCTGGACCCACTGCAAGGAATCATGGGTAAATACCAGCTGGACCCACTGCAAGGAATCATGGGTAAATACCAGCTGGACCCACTGCAAGGAATCATGGGTAAATACCAGCTGGACCCACTGCAAGGAATCATGGGTAAATACCAGCTGGACCCACTGCAAGGAATCATGGGTAAACAGCTGCTTCTATAGGGGGAGAAAGCCCCCCTCACTCATCGAGGCCTAAAACATATTTAGTCAATTGATCTGTCTCAGAATAGAAATTCAATATAAAGAGGTGTAACCTGGTTGAATTGCTCTTCTGTTATAAACCAGCACAACGCAGATCGGATACGGTTTCAGAGGCATGTTTATTGCAACATTTTTATCTAGAAACTGAAATCTATAGTTATTTTAGCCTAAACAATTTGTTGAGTTGGCAACTGGTTCTGGATCAGTCAGTCTGGACCTGGACGCAGTTTTCCAGCAGAGCTTTGAGAGACAAAGAGTTTCTTCTTGCTGTAAGAAGCAACAAGAGGAAAACCTCTTGTTTCGTCTTTTCGTTGTTTAAAGACGAAAAGACGAAACTCAGAGAGGAGGAAGAGAGGAAATCTGTGAACTGCCGTAAGCCGGTCTTGTGCGAAATTCGGTTCCCCTGTGAAAATCTGTTCCCCCTGTGTCGGGAGCGCGCATTACAGCCAGAGAGGCGAAAGAGGCGGATCTGATCATTTTCACGTTGCTTCTTAGAGACTTAGACTTAGACTTGACTTTATTGATCCCTTGGGAAGACTCCCTCAGGAAATTATAGTTACCAGCAGCTCACAGGCAAAAATGTGGCACACAGTAAGCATACACAAAATACAAAAAATACAAATTAAATACAAAACAAAGAATATAAATACAACACAAAAGGAAATTAAAGCTGCAAGCAGCCTCGAACGGCCCTCGCAGCCAAGCGCCGCTCCGGCCTATTGCCACCGCAGGGTACGAGCAACCGCCGCCTCACGCCAGCCACCACAGAAGCTCTCACGCAGTTTTCAGCTCCTCCGCCCGCACCGCGGAAGCTGTTGCTCAGATTCCATCAACGCTGGCCACGTGCTAACACAGAAGTTGTTGCGCAGTTTCCGCGCCCGTCCACCAGGTGGTACGCACTGATGCGTTCGGATGCGCTCCTTGACGATGCAAAAAATGTGGTGCAGATTCATTGGTTTAGCGAGGAAATATAGCTGGCGGATTAATGTAGGACGCGCAGTGGAGTCAAAATATATTTCAATGCTGTTGTTCTCTTTAGAGGTCAACAAAGGTCATACGTATCCAATTTGGCGTCAGTCGGATGATCCACGTGTCATTTACAGCCGATCATATGCACATGACGAAGTATTACAGTTCGTCATTTTTCATCATTTTCAGCTGTGTTTCTAAAGAACTCTATTTCATTGTTGGAGTAATACTTACTCAGAGTGGCGAATTACTGAAATGGTTTGTAAGAAGTAAGAAAACGCTACATTTACTGCATGATTTAATTCAACAAAAATTATCTGAGACATTTCTATCCTTTTAGAAATTTCATGGCAACGCTCTCACAAAGTTTTCACGCCCATCGGCCCGTGGATCTGTTTGTCATTGGTGGAGGAACACTGACACCTACTGGCGAAATACTGATATTGTTCTTCATTCTGTTTATCTGCTGTTTCATTTGTGGAGCAATACTGACCCCAAGTGGCGAATTACTGAAATGGTTTATAAACGCCAAAAATGGGATCAAAATCTGAACTTCAATCTAAAATGGCTCACTTCCTCTAGGGTTTAGACCATGGCTCCAAGAGACTTTTTTGTAAGTCCTGACAAGGTACACACGTGTACAAAGTTTCGTAATTGTAGGTTAAAGCATGGCTTGGGGCTGATCATTTAAAATTTTCTAGGGGGCGCTATAGATAAATTAGGCCACACCCTACAAATATTGTGATGGATTCCTGTCGGGGAGTGGATGAAGATCCATACTTGTGAGTTTGGAGCAGCTGTGCCCAAAAATGTGGAATTGAGAGCCAAACGTATGGCGATGGCGTTACAGGTCACTTCGCCACGCCGCCACGCCCAGCTGCTCCATCGAAGCTGGTCGGGGTTGGAATCCTCAACACACCAACATGTCTTCTGTGTCTGGGCACAGTTTCATGTTGATGAGGTCAAAGGGGTCAGATAGCGACCGTTCAGAGTAAAACATGACACTTCCTTTTCTCAGGGGGCGTGGCCTAAGTGATGTCATCATTCGACCATAGGGTATTGTAGGACACCCGATGATGATCAATCACAGAAACTTTGGTGCCTCTGTGAGTTTCTGTGTAGGAGATATAGCAGTTGATTTTTTATGGGGAGTAGGTGAACTTTGACCCCTGCTAACCCCCCTTCAGCATTCTCAAAAACTCACCGTTTTGATAACTTTAGATGGGACATGCCTTATGAGCAAACTGACCGAGTTTGAAGCCGATCAATCGAAATCCCTAGGAGGAGTTCGATCAAATAGGAAGGCTGTAAACGGCAAAAATGGGGTCAAAATCTGAACTTCAATCTAAAATGGCCGTCTTCCTGTGGGGTTTCGACCATGGCTCCAAGAGACTTTTTTGTAAGTCCTGACAAGGTACACACGTGTACAACGTTTCGTAATTGTAGGTTAAAGCATGGCTTGGGGCTGATCATTTAAATTTTTCTAGGGGGCGCTATAGAGAAATTAAGCCACGCCCCACAAATATTGTGATGGATTCCTGTCGGGGAGGTGATGTCGATCCATCCTTGTGAGTTTGCAGCAGCTGGGCCCGAAAATGTGGAATTGAGAGCCAAACGTATGGCGATGGCGTTAGAGGTCACTTCGCCACGCCGCCACGCCCACCTGCTCCATCGAATGTTGTCGGGGTTGGAATCCTCAATACACCAACATGTTTTCTGTGTCTGGGCACAGTTTCATGTTGATGAGGTCAAAGGGGTCAGATAGCGACCGACCACAGTAAAACATTACACTTCCTGTTCTCAGGGGGCGTGGCTTAAGTGATGTCATCACTTGACCATAGGATATTGTAGGAGACCCGATGATGATCAATCACAGTAACTTTGGTGCCTCTGTGAGTTTCTGTGTAGGAGATATAGCAGTTTATTTTTTTATGGCGAGTAGGTGAACTTTGACCCTGCTTACCCCCCTTCAGCATACTCAAAAACTCACAGTTTTGATAACTTTAGATGGGACATGCCTTATGAACAGACTGACCGAGTTTGAAGCCGATCAATCGAAATCCCTAGGAGGAGTTCGATCAAATACGAAGGCTGTAAATGGCAAAAATGGGGTGAAAATTTGACCTTCAATCCAAAATGGCTGACTTCCTGTGATACTTGCACTATGACATTAATTGTAAATTTTGAGCATCTTGGGGAGCTCTACAAGTGTACCAAATTTCATGTCTCTACGATGAAGTAAGTGAATAGCAAAGGGTCCTTTGAAAATTTCTAGGTGGCGCTATTGAGCCATTTCTTGTGGAATTTTTGCGACGACTTTAAAATACGTAAATTTGAAACAGGCTTAAGGCCTCCGCCAAGTTTGGTGAGTTTTTGAATATGATAAAGCCCCCAAAAAGCCAATTCATTTGGAGGGAGAATCGTAATAATAATTAAAGCTGCAAGCAGCCTCGAACGGCCCTCGCAGCCAAGCGCCGCTCCGGCCTATTGTCCACCGCGGGGTACGAGCAATCGCAGTACCCCGAAGCCACCACAGAAGCTCTCACGCAGTTTTCAGCACCTCCGGCCGCACTGCGGAAGCTGTGGCTGAGTTTCCATCAATGCTTCCCACGTTCCAACACAGAAGTTGTTCCGCAGTTTCCACGCCCGTCCACCAGGCGGTACGCATCTATGCGTTCGGCGGCTATCCTTGACGATGCAAAAAAATGTGGTATAGATTCATTGCTTTAGCGAGGAAATATAGCTGGCGGATTAATGTAGGACGCGCAGTGGAGTCAAAATATATTTCAATGCTGTTGTTCTCTTTAGAGGTCAACAAAGGTCATACGTATCCAATTTGGCGTCAGTCGGATGATCCACGTGACATTTACAGCCGATCATATGCACATGGCGAAGTACTACAGTTCGTCATTTTTCATCATTTTCAGCTGTGTTTCTAAAGCACTCTATTTCATTGTTGGAGTAATACTTACTCAGAGTGGCGAATTACTGAAATGGTTTGGAAGAAGTAAGAAACGCTACATTTACTGCATGATTTAATTCAACAAAAATTATCTGAGACATTTCTATCCTTTTAGAATGTCATGGCAACACACTCACAAAGTTTTCACGCCCATCCGCCCGTGGATCTGTTTATCATCGGTGGAGGAACACTGACACCTACTGACGAAATACTGATATTGTTCTTCATCCTGATTATCTGCTGTTTCATTTGTGGAGCAATACTGACCCCAAGTGGCGAATTACTGAAATGGTTAATAAACGGCAAAAATGGGATCAAAATCTGAACTTCAATCTAAAATGGCTGACTTCCTCTGGGGTTTAGACCATGGCTCCAAGAGACTTTTTTGTAAGTCCTGACATGGTACACATGTGTACAAAGTTTTGTAATTGTAGGTTAAAGCATGGCTTGTGGCTGCTCA